TGACTGGAACATGATTGCATATTCCTGGGAAAGGCATTAGAATGATCATGTTAACTGATTGCTATCATCGGCTACCAAGAGAGGAGGCGCAAGCACAATAAAACATACATTACACGTGCACTTGCTATTCCAAATATTAGAAATCCCTGGTCAGATGAATAGACTCGCAGTAGAAGGTCAGCATGAGGTAACTTAAGGAGCACGAGGCAGATTTAATAAAATAAATTTAGTTATAAGTTAGAGACATACCAGTCATTGTTATTTTTATTAAATCTACTGCATAATCAAGAATTTTAAATAAAAGTTAAAGTACCCAGACAAGTGATAACTGTAGAAAAACAAATAAAAAACATAATTCTTAAGAAGACATAAGAGATGAAAATAGCCGAAGGGAATACTGTACCGAAATTAAATCTTAAATTAAATTATGAACTCAGTTTTACTTTTTTCTGGGTTGTATGATTTCCTTTGTAGGAGCTTTGGTAAGGAAGACCAAACTATTTGTAATATTTAAAAAATTAATATTTATACGATAAAGAATTTAGATATGGCAAAGAACTGCATGTAGTATTGCTGTATTTACTCTCCTTTGTGACTAGTTTCCTGTTTGCAGCTGATTGACAAACCCACTGTATGTTTGTAAAAATCCTACCCAATGCTTCTCCTCTTGGTTACACAAACTTGATGCCACCAGCATAATTTCATACTGGCAGTCCAGCATTCTCTAAGATTTCAAAATTTCAAATTAATCGACAGCCAGGAGCTCCTCAAGTTTTGTGAAATCAAGTTTTGCATCTTTTACTTTGCAGTTTCCTGGTTTCTTAAATCTTGTGTGTTTGTCTTTTGTTCTAAATTTTGATATCGGGATTGGTAGTACATCAAATTAGGGATGTTATATATATAGCTATTGGGATGATTATGATTTCCTGAAATGGCCTATAAAACTAAAACATATGCATAGACATATGAAAATATAATATGAAATAGCCATTTGCTAATTCAGGGGTTTATATGTTCCTATACTTTTTATTTTTATTGTTAGTTCTAGTTACACACGTATAAAATTCATATTTCATTTTAATTGTTTTAACATAAAAACAGCACAGCATATGTTTAAGTGATTCCTACTGTGGAAAATGGTATAAAAAACTTTTACAAGAAATGTATATTTTATTAGATGAGCATATACCTTTATAATTGATGTAGGGGAGTTTTAATTAAGCTGGTTCAGCCATATTATTTTAACAAAGAAACAGAAAACAAATTTTGATGACTAATACATTATGGGTCAAGAGAAAGTTAAAATGAATTATTAAATGAATACTAAATCAGTAGTAAGTTAAAAGTAACCATCATTAACAGGCTCAAGGCAAGCTGAGAAGTGCAGTGGCAGTGTACTGCCTGGATATATTATTCAGAAGTGTGAAATCCCACCAGAATCGTATAGTGCCAATAAAGAAAACTAAAGAGAAAAATATGCATAATTCATAGAGGCATAGATATGTTCTTGAAAAAAAAAAGAAAGCATTCTAGCAGAACTGCACAGAGAACCCTAAGTTTGGAATTTCGAAATCTAAATTTAGAATTTAAGGTTAGAACATTCAAAAAATTGAATTGGAATTTTAAGGAACTCCTGGGAGTGGACAATAACAATGATTTTACTAAAATCTGAATGAATACTGAAAGCTATATTCCCTGGCTGGTGGATATTGCAGGGGCTCAGTGGAAGAGTGGACAATTCAAGGAAATCCCTCAGAAAACTGACATTTAAATTGAATCACATAGTTTTTATTTCAGCTATGTTTTTAAAGCTTCTCATGGTGCTGGTAATCTCTTTGCAGCTCGTGTACATTCATTATCACTATCTTTGATAAACTGTTATACTATATGTTCTCATAAGAAGTTTTGGGATTCAATGTTACATTTTTTTCCTGAAACACAGGACCTATACCATATGTATTTTAATTCATTTGTGCTTTGAGGTAACAAATGAGGATTTTGACAGCATGCGAAAAACTAAAAGGTTGCTTAGGGACATAATACATTGCAATATAATATAAAGCTTTCTTTTTTTAATTTCTTCTTTGGCATTGATGTCCCCAGACCCTTCTGTGCTGTATTCCTTTCTGCCTCATTAAGCAGTGATATACTTAAAAGGATGTCAGGATAAAAGTGAATAGGTATATCATAATTATATTTTTTTAAATCTGAAACATACACATTAATTTCATAGACTGATCAACCATGGAATAAATCTAAATATTGCAAAAAATATTCCAAAGGAAGCAGAAGTTACAATGTTAATAAAAGAATGTTATTTTCTAAGTTGGAAACCATATATTTGTGTATGTGTATGAAGCATGATCATACACATTCTTTGATTCATTTTAGAATGATCAAGCCATTTAGCATAGAAATTCCCATTGTTTTGTTTTTTCATTTGCCTCAACACAGCAGGAATAAATACTGATAAAACACTGACATGACGAGATATGTGTTCCCAAACATTCTACAGATGATTATTTTACTCAGCAATACAATAACATAAAATGAATAGTTTTCCACTCAGTGTTCATCTAATTTTAGACTCAAGATATGTAATAATAAGTACATTTTGGATGTCATCTTATATTTGAATACTTTAGTATCTTTTCAAGACAGGACATTTGCATTTTTTCACTTGCATTTTAAAGTATGACTGAAAATCATTACATTTCTAATGTTGAGAATATAGAGTTTTAACAGAAGTTGATACTAGTTTATTTCTATTTCAGAGAGTCCTATGGTCAAAATTGTTCTTTATCATTGTTTGGGCTTGATTCCTGCCAATAGGGATTTGTCTGATGCTCAAGTTCTGTAGGTTCTATCAGACTGAAATCTGATTGACTATCGGACTGAAGTCTGTGCAAGATGTGTGTGTGTTACATTAGATTGTCTTCTATGAAGAGATGAAATTGAGCGCATGCAGTTTATTTTACTATTTTAATTTGTAAGGAATTACATTTCTACAGGACTGTGCAATTATTAACACAGGACTATATAATTATTAATACTTCATTTTAGTTACCTAAAATACCGTTTTTTTTAGATTTTCATTTCTGTTCTGGATGTAGAATAGCATTGTCTCATTGGCCTCTTTATTAACTCATTTTAGTCATTTAAGTATCAGTTCTACCTTGTGTTTGTCACCTGGTTAGATGGTGGCATTAATTAATACAGCAGAGTTTTGCTTCACACATTTTCCCAGTGTTTTTTTATGTACTTTATACCCTTATAGCCAGTCTTTTATGTACTTTATACCCTGAAGACAGATGAAAATACCTTTGTTCCTCCAGCAGCATAAACAGAGTTTTCCCACTTTCACATAAAAAATGAATGTCATTCCAGCCAGGCACAGGAACGTACTGTACAGTATAGTACAGTACATGCACCAGACGAAATGTGTGCTCTTCAGAAAGTCAGCCTTGCAGGGCTGTGATGTCTTTATTTCCTGTATAGGTGTCCCATGCAGAAACAATGCTTGGAAGCTACAGTACCTTGTCTTTCTTAATTAACTTTGTGTTTTGTTTTTCTTTGTAGAGCTCACGTATTCCTGGGTTTTCAATGAAGCTTTCAACTTTGTACAGCAGGACAACCGTCGCTTCATTTCACAAAAGACAGGGAACTTGTACATAGCAAAAGTAGAAGCATCAGATGTTGGGAATTACACCTGTGTGGTGAGGAATGTTATAACCAATGCCACAGTGTTCAGTTCTCCAACTCCTGTAGTATTACGTACAGATGGTAAGACTCTTAAACTGGCTTTTATTCAGTTTTGTGTACCAAGCTTGCCATTCTATATACAGTAGAACAATGAAAAACTGAAAAAAAGAGTAGGTTGAGCCAAATAGTGCTTTTATGTTTCTTGCTGCATGTAAGCAGGACATTAGTTTATTAATAACTTGTCTTTCAGCTGCCAAGAACCAAGGCTGTATCAGAGTTTGTTCAGAAACTGTAAGAGGGTTAATACGCATGGAGCCTAAATAACATTGATCCCTGCAGAGGCATGAGGCAAATTGTGAATCAGTGAGCCTAGTGCTGGCAATGTTCCCACCTGTACAGTGGCTACCTTAGGGATTGATGGAGAGGTTTATTTTTGCCATTTGTGTCCACATATTTTAAGAGTTATACATTTTAGTTTCCTTTTTGTATTTTTAATTGCAATATTACAGTATCATAAAACATACCGTGAAATGGTTCATTGAAAGGGAAATTATTATGATGACAACCCCCCAGCACCTCCTTAAGACACACCTGTTCAATCTCTACCTTTAGATTATGTGATTTATCATGGTCATTTCTGTGCTTTGTACTGTATTTCTTTTGCTTTGTTATTGTAGACTGTACTTTCTGAGGTGCATTTTTTGGTCTTTGTATTTTACAGTAACATATTAACTTACTGTATTTGTTTTGTTATCTATCTTTCCATATGGTTTATACAATCTTATTTTTTTACACTAGCTCATTGATTGTAAGTATCTTTGGATAAATACACCAAACAATCAATTCATCAATGCAATACATTGATTATCATCAGTGGATTATTTATCTGCTCTCTGGAGGAAAATAAATACCAATTCAATATATTGTAAATACTAATTAATTAATTCCATGAATTTTGTAAAACTGAATAGACTTTCAACATCATTAAAATCAGCTCATACTCAATTTTTCAAACTTGGTTATCAACTTTGTGCTTTCTGATGTTGTACTGTACAGAAAAAAGAAGAAAATTGATGCTCTTCTCATATTTGGACATGAATCTCTTAATGACATGATTCAGTTGTGTTCTGTTTAACCTAAAATAGCATAACATAACATTACATCACTTAATTAGCCCCATACAATTTTCTTGCATTAGGAATTCGTCTTTTCGCATACCCCAGCTGCTCTCCATGAGACACAGACAGTGAGAGACACTTGGGGTCAGAGCGCAGGGTCAGCCATTGTACAGAACCCCTGGAGCAGTTGGGGTTAAGGGCCTTGCTCAGGGGCCCAGCGGAGTAGAATTCCTCTGCCGGCTGCAGGATTTGAACCAGCAACCTTCCAGTCACAGGCGCAGATCCTTACCCCAGAGCCACATAATAGAAGTTAGCTGGATATTTTAGTAAGTTATAATTTATCTTACTGAAGAGACTTCCTACTACTATGTCTGTAAGTTTGCCTGTAATTGTTATTTTTTTTAACAGCTGTGATGGGAGAGTATGAGCCAAAAATAGAAGTGCAGTTCTCAGACACAGTTTCTGTTGCTAAAGGATCCTCGGTAAAGTTGGAATGCTTCGCCCTGGGAAAGTATGTACAGTATCAATTTCTGTAATTGCCACAGAAGCAAAGTAATTACTTTGGATAATAATGTAATGTAGAACTGGAGTAATGTTAACTACCAAAATAAGATGTGTGACTCAACCCAACTCAATTGAATTCACTACTGAAGAAAAGTAGTCCAAGTTTTGGAAAAAAAGTCAATATTATTTTACTCAAACAGAAAGTGACTTGTTTTTCAGAACAGATGTATAAATCTCTATGAGTCTATATGAAATAAATTTCTCCAAAATAGAAAAAAAATCAATTAGTTTTACAGTAAGGAACACAGAGTAACTGCATTAATCAGAAATCATGGTCACGTACTTGTATGCATTTCTGTTAGCGATTGATAGCTTTTTCTTAATTTTGAAATACACAAGTTGTTTTTTTTTTTAAATGCAATATTGCCAGTACCTGTTCAAACATATGTGGCATTAATTAACATTTTCTTTTTGATATATCTAGCCCAGTTCCTGTCATAACATGGAGAAGAGCAGATGGTAATCCTTTTCCTGGCAAGGTCAAAATAAACAGCTCCAATGGAGTCCTTGAAATCCCATATTTCCGACCAGAAGATGCTGGGATATATGAATGTATTGCTGAGAACTCAAGAGGAAGAAATGTTGCAAAAGGAAGGCTGATTTTCTATGGTATGTCAATTTACACCTCCTGATTCAATCTAAAGAGTTTCTTTTCATATCAGCTTAAAAATGTACTTAGTTTTTTTTTATTTTGCATCTCACACTTGTAATACATTTTAGATTAAAGAAGAAATGTGGAAATTAAAGTTCCGATCTGTGAAAGGCTGTCTTTTGTTGTTTTCACTTAAAATATTCCATGTCTCAGACTTTTTAGACTGCATTTCAAATGCAAAATATTCAGTTGTAACCATAGAAAACACATGAATTTATATTTAGCATCCTGATGAAAACAGAATATATTTCTGAGCATGATAAAATTGTGGAATAAGAAGTGCCTCTTTAAAATTAAAAGTCGAAGTTAAGTAAATATTCAAATATATATATACTTTAATGCCTGTTTGTTTGTGTTACATGTCATATTTTAATTTGTTATAAGGGATTCAAGAGCTGATACTCTAATTATATTTGTCAGATAACACAATATACCTAATGGCTGCATTGCTATGAATGAAGTTATCTCATTATTGTCAGAGTTCATTGAAGCAAGTCTAATTCAAATAGCTGTTCTATTAATTATATAGTCTGAGTTTAATAACTATTATTTTTCTCAAACTGTGTAAGGGTATTAAGAAGGAAAGATTATCTGGAATTAATTTGTACCAATTAACCTTTATGTTTTGTGTGCCTTTGTAGTTTTCTGCAATGTTGATAAACATTCAAACATATCTATTAACCATAGACACTAAAAGAAATAAGTAAAAACAACAAATTATACTGTATACTGTTTAGGAATTTCTATTTGACCATTCCTATCAAGTATTTGTTTCACTGTTGGCAGTGCATGGATTAGAATATTTTATTTTAATGTTTTGTAACACTGTACATGGTTCTTAGAATTGTACAGTTTAAACAGTGCATTGGAGAGTTTATAGTTGTTTTTAATGATACTTACTGTACATCTGAAACCGAATAGAATAGAAACTGACTATTCTTTGTTGAGATCTGTTGATGATTTTTTTTAATTGTGTTGGTATCTGTAGATGTTGAACATCTTCACTGGGTCCAAACATTAAAAGATTCATACATGTCCATTGAAGATGATCTCTATTGGGAGTGCAAAGCCAGTGGGAAACCAAAACCTACATATAGGTGGCTGAAAAATGGAGAACTTTTGGTTCTTGAGGTGAGTGGAAGTCCTGATGGTTTACTGGTGAATGGCTTGCTAATAGGTATTAGTGGACCTTAAATGTCACATGTCACATGATTGTTTAGTACTACCTGTTTACATCCTGTTTACACCTTGTTCCGACTCATTTGATTTATTTATTTATTTATATAAATTATGTTTATAGATGTAGAAGTACTGTAGTTTAATAATCTTAAAAACTATATAGACAATTTGCATATTTAGCAGAACAGCTAAAATTCATAAATTCTTAAATATTGGCGTTTAACCTTGATAAACCAATCTGTTCTCTTATCTGAGTCAATATACATGTATGATACTATTGTATGTCACATGTAATCATTTTCTAAATATTCTATTGATATTTAATGGGAAAAAATAAATTAGGTCAGCAATGCACCTGAAAAAAAGAATGCAAGTAAAGAAAATAAATCTGTTTCACGTACTATGTTTCCATTAAGAGATCCTTTATCATTCAGAGGCTGATTGTAAAATGTGATAAAATGGTGTATTAAGATGCTACTGCTTTGAATTTTCTTGAAAACACGTAGTAATAAAGTGCTTAGTAAAGCCAAGGTTTTACCTATGTATCGACAATGCACTTAGAAGAATTAGGCAGCTAGAGGAATCAATATTAAATTAGGAGTGAGAGTACTAAGTAAAGGTCATACAAACATCTGAGAGAGATTAAATTGGCTTTATAAAGCTAATTGACAGATTTCTTCTTAAAGTATAAGACCAATAACATTTCCAGCATTGATTCTCATGAGCAATGATGGTTAACTGACAGCAGTATGGACTAGTAGTTAGGGCTCTGAACTTGTAACTTGAAGGTTGTGGGTACAATTCCTTGGTGAGGCACTGTTATTACGCCTTTGAACAAGATACTGGAATCAGTTGCTTCATGAAAATATTCAGCTATATAAACGTGTTCAGATGTGGGTTGCTTTGGATAAAAATGCCGTAAGTAAACTGATTAAAACAAATGATCAAAGTGGAATAATAAGAACTGTGATCTTCTAGCAAGGCTTAGTCTGGGTGAGTACTGGAATGGAACACCTCTAAGGAAATCCAGGATGGTGCTAAAAGTAGTGTTTGTGGACCAGAAAGTGGCAATCTTCATTATGAGCCGGAATTTCCAAACTAATTTCTCAGAATAGTGATCTTACTGGTGGATCACATGGTGTAAGTGGTGTTATCTTTCAGTTGAGACAAAACTACTTGACTATTAAAGAGCTCGTATTACAATTTGGCCCCTAACTGTGTGGCCCATAAATTAATTAAAGAAGATCGCACCTGCTGATGCATAATGTCTGCTGCATATGACCAAGCTGAGTGGGTAGATCCCCACCTATATGTAAAGTACCTTGAGATTATTTGAAGTGAAAGGCACTATATAAATGCAAGCAATTATTGTGATCCCTTTTTCTTGTATTATGTAACCAGGACAGAATTCAGATAGAAAATGGTAGACTAACCATTACAAATCTCAGCCTGATGGATTCTGGGATGTATCAGTGTTTGGCAGAAAACAGACACGGAATCATTTATGCTAGTGCTGAGCTCAAGGTTGTCGGTAAGAGGACAATTGTTTGTTTCCATGCCTGCATCTTTAGAAAAGAACAACTTTTGTATTTGCTGTCACAAAGCTGTTATGTACACTAAATACATGCAATTTTGATATGCTCTTACTGTGAGGAAAGATGAATTACCTTGAAGCAAAACACTGTGCTGAACATCTTATAAGAAAATGAGCCTTACAATAAATAAATACAAAATCAATTGAAATTAATAAATTTAAAGTATGCGTAATTAAGTATGCTTTATTTTTAGGTTCTTTGATAATGGTCTATGCCTTCATCATAATCTTTTTACATACGGTACTTTACCTGGAAGCAAAACAGAAAGGGAGCTGATAGCTCCTATAAATGAAGCTTAATTAATAAACATTAATTACTTTAATAATAATTAATAATTAATCTGAATCTTTTGATCTTTTTAATGATTATAGGAACTATTGTTTTAAAGGCTTACTGTTTATGCTTTTTGAACTTAAACATATTCTTTCTGTCACAGCATCACCACCAGATTTTTCCAAAAGTCCAGTGAGGAAAACCACAATGATTCAAAAAGGAGGTGAAGTTACCATTGAATGCCGACCAAAAGCTTCTCCAAGGGCTACCTTCTCATGGAAGAAGGGCGGTGAAATTCTTCAAGAAAGTAAGAGGTATGATTCCTGAATTGTATTGATTATACATTTGATACAACTCATACGTTTTCCTTACTGCACAAATAAATTTAACAGTTACATAATGCTGCGCTTCATATTCTTAACAGTATATGCACTGTATGAATTCAGATATTGTCAGAGATTATTGAAAAGAATGGTGAACAGGCAAGTGTTACAAGATGAATTTTTAGATTTTAAATCTTCACATTATTCAGGTGCATTCTTCAAATGAAGTTTTGTGTCTAGAGTTGTTATCAAGTATGTCTTGTTGGAAGGAAATTGACATACTAAGAGAAAACCCATGCAAGCACAAGTTGAATTTGAGAAGGTCCTCCAAGTTGTATTTTGCAAGAATTGAAACAAAAACCAGGAGCTGTAAAGATGTAGCACTTAGTACTGTACAAGGCCCATGTGCAATCACATTTTTGTATTTTAAGAGAAGATCTTTCACCAAATATTAAAAAAATAAAAAGCTGAGATGGGCTAAACTAAAACCAGTGAGAAGTACAGTATGTAACATTAAGTAACTCTGTTAGGGTACCTTGGCAATAATAATGCAATAAAGCACTTCCTTGCTTGTGCTTCTTAATCACCAATAACTGTGTCAGGTTTGTAGCTGTGTCAGCATGTGTACACAGATTAGGCAGCAGACAATATGAAATGATGGGGCAGTCAGAAAAGAGGGCCCCAGTGGAGGGATCAGCCTGTAGGATGGAAAAGGTGTTGTTAATGGTCCTGGGGATAGAAAGTGTGTTAGGGTGGAAGGGAAGCACCAAAGGACAGCAGTTGTTAGGCCACGGGTTCCTGGTTGAATTGTTGACTCGGATGAGGGCCCTGTCAAAAACATGGGTGTGGTATCCTCTGTTGATGAAAAAAGAGTACATTTTGAGTGCTTGGTTCTGAAAATCCATCTCATCACTGCAGAGTCATCGTAGCCGAAGGAACTGTGAAAAGAGAGTTTTTAGTGTGTTTGGGGTGAAATTATATGCACAGAAGATAGCTGTGTGAATCCGTGGGTTTGTAATAGACTGAAGTAGAGGATCAGGGATGGTTAATGGATAGGTTTATGTCTAGAAACAGAAGAGTAGTGGAAGATATGTTAACTGTATATTTGAGGAACAAGTGGAAGTTGGTGACATGATGCAGGAAGTGCTCTAACGGGTCATTAGAGCATGTGGGAGCACCGACGCAATCATTGATGTATCGCTTGTAGAGGTCAGGGACGAAGCCAGTGTAGGAAGTAAAGAAGCGTTCTTCTAGCCAGCCAACAAAAACAATGGCATAACTGGGTCCCATTCTGGTGTTCATGGCAATTCGACTAACTTGCTGGTAAATAAGGTTATTGAATAAGAAGGCATTGAGTGTGAGTAACAATTCTGCAAGACGTACAAGGATGTGGGTGGGTGGAATGTGTCTACCTGCTTACATTTCACTGATATACTTTATGATGAATTAAACTCATACACAGTACATATTTAGTGGCAGCATTCAAGGCACAGCCATTTACCAGCAGCCACATCACTCTGCAACTCACAACTGGTAACCCACTGAAGCTAAGCAGGTGTGAACCTTGTCAGTACCTGGATGGGAGACCTCCTGGGAAAAACTAAGGTTGCTGCTGGAAGAGGT